AAAAGCCCGGCCACTTGCCACCCGGCGCCGACACCAAGGGTTCCTGCTGTCACGGTGACTTGTGCAGAGCGTGGCTAAGCCGAGTGTCCTATGGAGTCACCTGAGAGCAGGCCCCCCATGAGGGGAAGCAGCCCCCCCCCCAACCCGGCTGAGTGGGGGAGCAGGAGAGGCCGCGGTGGCCTGCTGTGGGCACGCTCAGGAGGGGTCTCCATGGAGGGAGATAAATATGTCCTGGCACGTGGTATTCAACAAGCGCGCTGCGTGCCGAGAACAGGCGGCTGAGTCGCACAGAAATGGGGACGGTCCCTGCCGCAGACGGAGAAGCAGAGGGCAGCTTCCCTTCCCTGCGGCCCCAGCGCCAAATCATGAATCCCTTCCAGCAGGCGGTTAACCACCCGCACTTTGGCCTGAACAATCAGACGTTAGAGCTCCTCCCGCAAGGCCATGCTGCTCTTCGCCTTGAGGTTAGACAGCTTCTTCCCCCGCTCCCAGCTCTCGTCCCTCTCCTGGGACGCCTGGCCCGGTGGCCACTGGTCTAGAAAACCACTGCGTGCCCCTCCTGCCTCCAGGGAACATACTGAACCGCGGGAAAGAGAGGACACGGGGGAACAAACCCAAGAGCATGCGCTTAGCTCTCCATGCACCTGGTCTGGGCAGGGCTGCCCATCACTGCTGCCCCAGAGCCGGCAGGCAGCTGCTCGGGGCGTCAGACTGAGGAGGGGCGGGGTCCTCTGTCAGCTCGGAGGGTGCCCTCCCAGAAGTCTTACCATACAGCCTCTGGATTGCTTTCCGGTCTGACCAGTCCAACTCGAACGCTGGCCCGCGGGGAAGATAATTTGGCTGCATTATGGATCCTGCCCTGTAGCTGTGAGGCAAGCCGAGGACGTGGCCAATCTCATGGACGGCCACCTGGAAGGGAACACAAGCCATGGGTGCAGGGCCAGCCCTGGGGGTCTGGGGCCCGCCCTGGGGGGTTGGGTGGGGGGAGGACAGGCTGTGCCTGGAGAGGCTTGGGCAGGAGGAGGGAACTTTCTCAGGAGGAGAGGCTCCGGCCGCCTGGACTCCCACCCGCCCACGCTGCTCTTTGCCCCGTCACTACGATCAGCTGCAACCACTCACCTTGAGGAGGCTGATGCCCATGTCGCTGGTGGGCGGGGTGAAGTGCTCGTCATCGTCAAAGTGAATATCGCCCAGGCGCCAGGCGTGTGCAAACTCCTGCCCGACTCCATCGAACACCCGAGGACAGCCCAGGTGCCGGCCTGGCGGGGGAGGGGGGGCAGGTGAACGAGGAGTGCCCGTTGCACAGACTCCCCACCTGGCGGGACCTGGGAGCATAGACACCTGTAGGGTCCCCAGGCCCCAGGGGCTGGCCGTCCAGCCTGGACTAATTCCTCCACTTAAGGCTGCATGAGCCGCAGTTCTTTATAAACTGTTATAAAGTCTAAAGACACAGCCCAGCCCCATGGCCCAGCCCCATTGACTGTCTCATCTATGAACCAGAAGGTCACGGTTCAATTCTGAGTCAGGCACATGCCCAGTTGCAGGCTCAGTCCCCAGTGGGGGGTGTGCAGGAGGCAGCCAATCAGTGATCCTCTCTCACTGATGTTTCTCTCTCTCTCCCTTCTTCTCTGAAATCAATAAAAATCCACAAAGTCTAAAGACAGAAACAGCTGCGCACTAAGTGCTGTGGGAACGAGCAGAGCTGGGGGCGGGTGGCCGTGGACCGCTGCAGGCCACGGAGGAGGAGGAGGAGGAGGAGGAGGAGACAGTCTGCGCCGACCCCTGACCGCTGTGTGGTCAGGAAGTAAAGCTGGCGCTGCCCACGGTCACATCCTTCCATTCACATCGTTTTCCAACCAACGGTGCTCTGGGCGCTTCTCACAGGAGGACGTGACTCCAGGGAGACCGTGGGGCCGCCTTTGGGACCCCTAGTTCCCAGAGGGGGCTGCTGAGAAGTGACTGTGTCCAAACCCACGCAGCAAGAGGGGTGGGCCTGGGGGAGGACCGGCCATCTGCCTTGTGCCCTGAGGAGCCCACCGAGCCCACGTGAGCACCTTGAGCCATGTCCCCTGACCTCCTCTGACGTGTCCCCAGGAGACCCTCTGGGCTCTGCAGGGTGACACACGTGCCCTTCCTAGCGAGTTGTAATAAAGCAACATCCACAGAGGCTGACAATGCGCCCCCAGGTGCCATCTCAGAACAGCAGGCAGCGGGTTGGTGCCACTGCTCTGGGTGACTGAGGCGAGCAGGAGGCCAGGGTGGGGTCCCCCGAGTCGGTCTGTTTGACCCGAAGTCCCCATTATGCTGAGGTCCCTGCCTCGGCCTATGGGAGAGGCAGAGCGGCCCGCCTGCCAGCAGCGAGGACAGTCTTGGCCCCTCTCACCTCGTCCAAATCCCAGCTTTATGTCAACCATGGCCCCCGGGCCGGCGAGGTCCTCCCGGAAGGTGAGGGGGGTCACCTCGCTCCACATGCGGAAGGCCAGGCGGAAGACGTGCCGCTGCTCGTCCACGGAGAGCTGGCGGCTGTAGCCCTCCCCCACCAGCCTCCAGCTCAGGGTCCTCTTGGCGAAGGCC